CAATCATCATAAATGAGAAGACTAGTTGCAAAGCTGGGGGCGGGATTTGATTTCCTTTGTTGTAACTTTGAATGGTTGCTAAACAAGACAATGGGAAAGCAAGGACGATCTACGCACCAAAGTAGCTCTTCCAAAAAGGATGGGTAGATGGCAAAAAAATGTCAGTGATCACTAGATAGCAGCAAAGTGTTACAGTAAAGCTTTCTATATCTCTTTGCTGCCATCTAGTGGTTGTCCAACATGCCTGTGCTATCCAATACCTTTGATTACATCCAGTAACAGGTCAATTGACTTCACTTCCAAGATAATGCCTCTCCAAGCAATACAGATTCTTCATACCCTGAAGACACAATGTGCTGCTGTCGGCTTAACATAAGAAAATCATACTTTAAAGCTCATCCCGCTCCATTCTGGTAGCTTCCCAGCTTTGACACAACAATTTCTCTACCAACCTTCTTTATTAGGATTCAGCTTCTTGAGTTTCTTTCAGATCTGCCCACAACATCTATGCCCAATTTTCAAAAATGGCTCCTCTGACAAGTTCTAAAAAGGTAGAGGAGAAGACAGCAAGGCCCCACTTTTTAGATGAAGAACACACGCCGTATAAGTAATTCCTTTTAGCACCATTTGAAAATTACTACACTGCTGCTATTCTATTTGAGAAAATCAAGAGACAGTTTTGCCCTTTTCTGCTTTACAAGAACTCTGAAATGTATGTTTTTCTTTAGATGCAGCAGCCCTGCTTGTACTCATTGTGAAGTTCAGAAAATAATAAGGGTGCGTGTGCGTTTATTTGCCAGTTTCTTTACACTTGTCAGTTTCTATCATGTTCCAGCTCTCTCTTTCAAACAAGATACTTGTTTTCTGAGCAGCTAGTCAAATTAAGTCTGACAGGATCCAGCAAGTTGCATAATTATGGCAAGTCTGCTTCCCTCTATTCTTAACTGTTTCTTCCCATGTGATTTCTTTGCCACATTATTGACACTTGGGAGATGCCCAGATGAAACTTGGGAAGGACAGACCAACCAGCCTTTTCCATTCCTGCCACAGAGCTTGACTGACAGGTGTTTTCCCCATTGATGAGGACATGCTGAAAAGGGATAGCAACAAAGCCAGAAAACAAATCAGCTTACCTATAAGAAATAGTACACTTACCAAATCAGGGCAATGCAGTGACTTGCAGCAGATACAACAGAGAAAGCAGAAAGATTGGCACTGGGACAGTCAAAATTAGAGTGTCAGAATGGTTCCACAACTGACTCAAGGATGGGCATTGAACCGAGTACTGAGGAAAGGCCCTGAGTATCTTAGATAAATCAAACTAATACATCAACACTATTGAACACAATACGTCAACACTATTGATTTGATAGAGGGTACAAGTAAGCCTTTCAGGGTTACACAAGAACTGATACAGCTTTTGCCGTCTATCTGGGTTTCTTTGAATGTACATACAGTCTTTCCAGTTCTCCAGAGATAAATATCTCTATAGTTAAAATGTATTAAATGGATTAAGTGAACTTTTGTAGTGCTGAATTTTAGTGATTTCACAATCTACAGTAGCGCCAGGTAGTTCTGCATAGCAGTCAAATCACAAATGTTAGGTGGGCCTAGATCAGAGGTCCCCAAACTCTTCAGTGCATAGAGCCTAACCCTTCATGAAGTTTCAGATTGTTCTTTGACCCTCAAACATTTCTTACATGAAAATAATTTAATAAATATGTTTAACTAATAGTACTGTGAATAACAATGATGACAATGAATAGCTACATAGCAGTAGACTTATATACCGCTTCATAGGCCTTTCAGGCCTCTCTAAGCGGTTTACAGAGAGTCAGCATATTGCCCCCAACAATCTGGGTCCTCATTTTACCCACCTCGGAAGGATGGAAGGCTGAGTCAACCCTGAGCCGGTGAGATTTGAACCGCTGACCTGCTGATCTAGCAGTAGCCTGCAGTGCTGCATTTAACCACTGCGCCACCTTGGCTCTTCAACCCTTGGTGGTTGGTACTGATCACTTTGGAGTATCCTGCCCTAAATTAATGTATCTAGACAACAAGCAGGGACAATCCAACATCAACTCTGAAAAAATATCATCTTAATCTAGTATTCTGCCATTTCCAAAGAATAAGACTCCTTCCTGAGTTTATCTGGATGGTATAGATACTTTTTGGGGAAATATTAGCATTCTAACTGCTCACCTACTGTGACCAAACTCTCAACTAAATAAGGTCCGATCTACAAATGCTACCACTTCAGTTTGCAGGCCGAATGACCATATAATATATTTTGTCCTGCTGCAAACCAGCTAACACCAAGAAATAACCAAATTTCAGAGCTAAACAAAATCACGTCTAGCAATTCTCAGAGAAGAAAGCCTAGCTATTGGTTAGGCACTGCAGAAACTCCAGCCAGTTGAGGAAACCCTATACTTTTAAGTAAACATGCAAAGAACTGTGATCTTCTGATGCTGTATCACATAGATTCACACTATTTTTGGCATAGAAGTGGTTTTTAAAAAGTGTCATTTCCCTTTTTAGAATTTCCAATGGCTCTTTACTATATAGGGTCAATATTATTTGGGTCAATGCTTGTCAGCACGTACCTGAAGTTGTAAAGAAATATTCTGCAGGAAATATTATCAACCACAGGAACATCTGGGGAAAAAGGGTGCTTATAAAAAGACAAGAGGACATATCATGCACACAAAGCCCTGCATGGCGCATGAAAACCAGGTGTGGCTTAAATTGCACTTCCACAGAGGCCCCTGAACACATAAGTTGTTGTTATTCTCCTTCCTGTCCCAAATTTACCTGCCACTTGCCACCACTTATTTTAAAACCACAAATTACAATCTTGTTCCAGGTATTGTTGTGGCCCAACTGCGGCCGGCTGGTGGAATCTGACAGCGATGAACACTATGGGACTGCCCTAGAGGCTGAGGAAGACTCTGGGGGGTGTTCGGAGGCAGAGCAGGGACAGAGCAGAGGCCTGTTGGCCACCAGGTGGTGTCTGAGTCAGGGAGCAGTGGAGAAGAACAGAGGGAGGCAGTCCCTGACGTACGTATGCGTAGGGCTGCAAGGAGGACGGAGCAGCTTTGGAAAAAGGGTTACAGAAGGAAATAGGAACAAGTGGCTACTGATTGGCCCCTTCCGGAGAGCTTATAGGTGGCGGAACAGGAAGGGAGTTTTGCAGGAAACAACAATTTACTGATCCAGCCGTAGAGAAAGATTGGGAGAATTTCATGAGTTCAAGCCTTGTTTCATAGAGATAGCTTTCTGGCCTCCCAGCTAAGGGGTTGCTTATCTCCTTCCTTAGTTGTGGCAGACAGCCAAGTCTGTATATATTGTAGAGGCTTGGGACAGAACAGGTATCCTAACAAAAATGAAGGGAGGGAGGGAACAAAATGGCAGATTTGAATTGAATTGAATTGAATTGATTTTATTTGTAGGCCGCCCTTTTCCCTGAGGGGACTCAGGGCGGCTCACAGAAACCAGGGAGAGGGGAATACAATACAATACAATACTAAAACAACAACACATAATAAAATAATACACAACATGCATACAACATTCGGGCGGGGCAATGGTCCTTATCCCCAGGCCTGACGGGCGAGCCAGTTCTTCAAGGCTATGCGGAAGGCCTGGACGGTGGAGAGGGTGCGGATCTCTACGGGGAGCTCGTTCCAAAGGGTCGGGGCCGCTACTGAGAAGGCCCTCCTCCTTGTGGTTGCCAGCCGGCATTGGCTGGCCGATGGGATGCGGAGGAGGCCTAACCTATGAGATCTTATAGGCCGTAGGGAGGTAATTGGCAGAAGGCGGTCTCTCAAGTATCCAGATCCACTGCCATGTAGGGCTTTATGGGTGGTCAATAGCACCTTGAAGCGCATCCGGAGATCGACAGGTAGCCAGCGCAGCTCGCGGAGGATAGGTGTAATGCGGGTGAATCGGGGTGCACCCGCGATCACTCGCGCGGCTGCGTTTTGTACTAGCTGAAGTCGCCGGATGCTCTTCAAGGGCAGCCCCATGTAGAGCACATTGCAGTATTCCAGCCTAGAAATCACGAGGGCCCGAGTGACAGTTGTGAGCGCCTCCCGGTTCAGGTAGGGTCGCAACTGGCGCACCAGGCGTACCTGGGCGAATGCCCCCCAGGGCATATAGATTTGCCTATAACTGCTTATGATATGGACATATAGAACACCAGAAGTCTCCATACTTGCACAATAACATAATATTTGTAAATAGTTTTTTATTCTTAAAGCTTCTTAAAGACTTAATGCTACTAAACCTCCTGGCAGCAATTAAGATATTGAGGTGTATCATGTGTCCATATGGTTATGGACTACAATACAAAAACAATTTAACAAAATGCATCAGCATCTCCCATCTTCCTTCCCACCCAGCCCCCAGCCCAGTGTTCCTGTGTTTGATTATATTTCTATTCATTCACTTCTATTCCATTCCTATTAATTGAAAATTAGATTACAATATTTCAAAGATGCTTATTTCACACTTTGCCACAAGGTGGCAATATTACCACTCTGTATAAATGAAATCTATCTGCAATTGTCAATACATTTTTTTAAACAATCAAAAATAGAATTTTCCATAAATTAATATGTCATAAATTAAATATTTTTACTTATATATGGATCAAATACAGTCAGAAGTCATTTTTTTTCTATTTTCTTTTTTGTGAAGGATAGCGTTCATCTAAAGGTTTTTGGTACTTGTTGCTAGAAATCTGTCCTCATTCTATGATTGCTGAATTCTCACCAGAACTGTCTTTACAGATCAATTTAGCAGGAAGTGAAGACATCTTTCTTGATTCAAGCACCAGAGGCAGTTTCCCAACTAATGCTGCAATGTTTGACTTAGATGTATTCCATGCTAGCACACAGTACCAATTCTGAGGGCTTCACATTTTGGCAGGTAGCAAAATCTTGTACGATTTTTAATGGACAAAGGTTTAACAAACATGAGCTTGAGTTACCCAGAGTAAAATTGCTTAGAATTTATTGATTGATTGATCCATAAAGATAGTCTTCATTTCTGAAATACAAAATCTTTGCATCATTATATATGAAACATTGCTTAAGGATTTTGTAAATGTGAAATATCTCCATGGCCATATTTTTTAAATCAATTAGTAACTAATTTATAGAAATTAACCAGTTAATTTATGATTTTTCAATGTTAAGCTTTAGTTTGTTTAATTTTTCTGGGACAAAATACACATTTAAAAAAATGAAATCCAATAAAGCTGGATCTAATAGCACTGTTTGTAAAATTCCCATATTTATTTATTAGAAAATTTATATTTCCGCCTATTCACACATGGTGACTCAAGGCAGCTTACAGGGAGAGCTACAAATTTAATCATGGCAACATAGACGCACAGCGGGTATATAAAGTCTGCACCTGTTAAAATGCCAGGTTTTTGAGATTTAAAAAAAAGCAGACATAAATCATTTCAGATTTATGGAAATTCCTCCAGTAAAGAGTTTTCTTTACAAATTTACACTGTTAATTCTAGGCAGCTCAACATCTGTACACCTGTTTTTACAAATGGTCAGTCATTAGTCATTTAGAAATAAGTGATCCAAGCATTCTGAAAAGGATTTTCACTTGTCTTGGCTATACAATAAAATACCTCATATTTTCATCATATCCTTATATTTATAGCCTTTTTGGGAAATAAGTAAACCAAAGACTATCCCAGAATATTTCAATCATATATCCATTTCAATCATGTTTCTAAAAAAAGCAGAGTTTTCTAATATGGAAAAGTTTACTTTCACTATCACCAACTCAGTAGTGTTCAGACAGCAAAACACCTGTATTGCATTAAGAATACTGACTGAAAAAGGCTCTAACTCTTATTTGTTATTCATTCAGTTTGCCGTTCATTCAAATTTCTTTCAATTGCAATGATGGTGTGTTGATGTAAATTCTCAGTCATGATGACAGTAATGATTTGCCAACAAACTAGTGATGACCCTTAGTGACCATATGCAACAGCCTATGTATAAGTACCCAAATAAGAAGGAAGAAAAAAATAATCTTAAAAAATGAGTACAGAATCCATATACAGAGAAATTACACCCCACTGCACAAGTGCCTCCCATCATGAGATTATCTTGTACACAGGATCCCCAACTTCAAGTGTTCCCGTTTCCTCAACTCCATATAGCCATCCAAAAGGAGGATTAGACTTATAGTCATGTTCTTCAGAAGGATCACACTTGCGATAACTGAAAATAAAGAAAAGAAATGGAAAAACAGAATTAGAAATTATTTTGGAATAAAATAGATCCTATACATTTCAGGATATAGATGAATAGTGAACTGCAATTTTGAAGCACAGGAGATAATAGATATTTATCAACAGTGATTATGATAGCATGATCATCTACTAGAATGGAATGTTTTCATGCAACATATTCTGTCATTGATTTACAGAGGCATTAGTGTCACAGGCATATAAAATGGATTTAAGCTAGAGATATTGCACAGAGGAAGCAATTACTTAGTTTCTCTAAGTGAAACTGGATTTACAGTTTTGCATAAATTATTAGAAATATTGGAGCTTTAACTGCCTGCCCAGCTGTTTCAGAATTATAAGTCTAATAGATGCAGAAGCCCCTGCTTCAAAATCAGAAAGAGAAGAAGACCAGGAACTACGGGTAGGAAAGGAAATGAAGAAAAAAAATATTTTTAAGTGGTTTCAGTTAATTATTAGGATAAAGTATTTCAAATTATAACAAATGGGGAATTGCTTTAAAGAAGCTAGTTTGACTTATAAAAAATTGAATCTTGACAAATTAACTGATTTACATGCATACCATGTGAATCTGTCTGCCTAACATTGTATGTGCGAGCTACAAAAGGAGCTTGGGAAGGTTGTTGAGAAGGTGGTGGCCTTCCACCAGCTTCAACGGTCCTTGGAGGAAGCTAGCTATCTTGACCCCTTCCAGTCCGGCTTCAGACCTGGTTACAGCACTGAAACCGCTTTGGTCGCATTGACCGATGATCTCTGGAGAGCCAGGGATGGAGGCCATGCGTCCATCCTGGTTCTCCTTGACCTCTCGGCGGCTTTCGACGCCATCGACCATGGTATCCTTCTGCGACGACTGTGGGAGGTGGGGGTGGGAGGCACTGTTTTGCAGTGGTTCTCCTCCTACCTCTCGGACAGGTCACAGTCGGTGTTGGTTGGGGGGCAGAGATCATCCCCGAGGCCCCTAACATATGGGGTGCCGCAGGGCTCGGTCTTATCACCCCTACTATTTAACATTTACATGAAACCGCTGGGCGAGATCATTCGGAGGCACGGGATAAAATACCACCAATACGCGGACGATACTCAGCTGTATCTGTCCGCCCCGTGCCAACTCAATGAAGCGGTGGACGTGATGAACCAGGGTCTTGAGGCCATTAAGAACTGGATGAGAGCTAACAAACTGGTACTCAACCCAGACAAGACCTGAGTACTTGAGAGACCGCCTCCTGCCGATTACCTCCCTTCGACCGATTAGATCGCACAGATTAGGCCTCCTCCGAGTTCCATCCGCCAGTCAGTGCCGACTGGCAACTACGCGGAGGAGAGCCTTCTCAGTAGCAGCTCCGACCCTTTGGAACGACCTCCCCGTGGAGATTCGCACCCTCACCACCGTCCAGACCTTCCGCACAGCCCTTAGGATCTGGCTATCCCGTCAGGCCTGGGGATAAGATTTTGATTCGCCCCACACGAATGTTGAATGAAAGTTGTGTTTTATTGTTTTATTTTTATTTATGCACTGTCTTATGTTTTTTGTGTTGCACCCCCCTTCCCATGTATTGTAAGCCGCCCTGAGTCCCCTCAGGGAAAAGGGCGGCCTATAAATCATAAATAAAAAAAATAAAAAAATAAAAAGATTTATTGAAAAGAGAGCTTAAAGTGCTAAGGTATTTGAAGATGTTAAAACAGTAAGAACATTCCTTATCATATATGTGGTGCTGGTTTCTGTTTGTAAATTGCTACTTTACGCTGAGTAAAATTGTGAACTAGTATAGAGACATCCAAACATCTAAAGAAGGAGCATTCATAAACATTATCTGCTACCTTTTCAGGGTTTTTAGAACTTCCTTTTCACCTATGATCCCAGTTTCTGGATCCACTGCTGTGAAAATGCACCTACAGACATAGATGTTGTCACATTTTAATTTCATTTAATAATACAAATGTCTTTAAAAATGAAATTTGTTTTGTGTGGGAACAAGAGATTAAAATACCATCATTAAACTCTCTTACCTTGGACATGACATTTTTCCTTTCAACTTAACAGTTCCAATTAATATATCAATCCAAGAATCCTATATCAAAGAAATTGTCCAATTAGATACTTTGCAATTGCATTATTTGACTATTTTCCAATAATATATATCAGTCATTGAGCAACATTTCTGCAGTTTTCTTTTTAAACCAATATACATCATATTGATGTATAGATCATATTTAAAAAGCTATTAAGTTTAACATCACAATAAATGTTAGGCATATCTGCAATAACATTAGAACTCAGATGGAGAAAAATAGTAATTCAAATACTCAGTTAAGATAGACCTGTAAGAACAAGTTTGATCTAGTAGTTATGACACCAGGCTTGACAGCTGGAGACTGTGAGTTCAAATCCTGCCTTAGCCATGAAAGCCAGTGAGTGACTTTGGGTCAGTCATTTTCTTTCAGAACAACCCATTTTACAGGGTTGTTGTTGTCAATAAAATAAGAGGAGGAAGTGTGTTGGATATTTCCACTACTTTGTTTATAAAAATAATAAAGATGGGATACAAATAAATAGAATAAAATAATAATAATAATAATACTTACTTCTTCATAAGGACTACAGCCTTTAATAACAATATTCGGCCGGAAGATAGTTATTGAAGCTTTCTTTTCTAACCTTGTATTTAGATCATCCAAGGAAGCTTCAGAAATCAGCAAGAGTGGACTGGCTTCAGCATAGGCAACCTTTAAAAATAAATACAAAAAATGTCTACCATTGATAATCATAAAGATTGGGATTTGTCTCAAAGAGCCACATAACATAACAAAATGACATAACAAAATGCAATCTTCTGTTGTGAACATTTCATTCCAGAGTTTACTGCAATTTGATAAAACTACACTTTAATTTCATAAAATGCTTTTAATTAAAACATGACACATCTATTTTGTATTTTAATTGTAAACATACATAATTGCATTAAGCCTTGATATATTTAATTATGATTGGTTGAATACTGTAATCCTAACTGGTAGGTTTCACACAAATTGTTAAATCATAAATCAGTCAAATTTCATGAAGTGATCTTTATTTATGTATTTACGCATTTATTTAGTAGTAACAAAGTACCTATTTATTAGAAATTTAAAAAATGTATGCAAAGGGAAATAACTAAAGATATTTTCTAATCATGGTTATCAACTAGGTGTATTTAAAATAGAAATGAAAATTATGAGCTTAAAATCAATAGGATGTGAAATGGCTTTTTTTTCTTCTGCTTTCAATGTTGCAATTTATATAGATTCTTCAATCATTCTTCACTATGAAAATAATCCCTTTGCTAAACAATCTTCCTGGCTGAATTAGTAAAATATGTTTACCATCATAATGAAATAAGTTAAAACCATATCTTTTTAAAACCCTATATTTTGGCTGTTGCTTAGTATGGAATAATATGAGGATAAGACAAGTTCTTCCAGACCTTGCACATTTAAAATGAAATCTCAGTGAAGCATTTTATATTAAAGCAAGAAATTTTCTTCCAATTACTAAGAATAATACGAATCATTTAATTTCTGTGTCTTATCTTTATAAATTCAGTGCTTAACTAATCATTTAAGCCTTATTAAAAACTCAAATATGTAAGAATCTATTCTGTTAGCAACATGCATGATAATTCAGTAAATTAATTCCCAAATTATTCTACATGTGCTGAAGAAAATACTTAAAAGATATAGAATATTTATTAAGAAGCCTCAATAAACAGGGACAATGAAGCGGAACAAGCTTGGCTCCATTTCTTTTCCTTAATTAAATTTTTTGGCACAAAGATGGTACAAATTCTGCAGATATAAGTTTTTCTCTGATTATACATATTTTTGTAATACCATAAAAAAGAGGTGTACATAAAATGGTTGTATGATTTATTCTGATCCCAGAGCAAACATTCCAGAAGTCACAGTATTATCATATGTTTCCAGGAAGTTGACAAAATACACTGAAACTTCCATACTATTTAATAATCCCAATACATTTAGTTAAATACAAATTATAATTATTTCAGTGGAACATAATTCTAAACATACCATATACTGTATTTTTCAGAGTATAAGACACACCAAGGTTTTGAAGAGACTTTTTTTTTTTTTAAAGTAGCTACCGTAGGTAGATAGAGGGAGAGAAAGAGAGAGAAATACAGTAAGTAGGTAGGGAG